GTAACCAGCTTACTCCCCCAACCCTGTTTCGTTCCCCATTTATAAATGAAGACCACAACTATCAACTCTGATGTCTTTATTGAAAAATGTCTTCCCTTCAGCTTGCAGCTCCAAAAACTGAACTGTTCGTCCTACTGGTTTTTCTTTTATAGACTTACCGTTCATAAGCTCCGGAGAGAGGATGTCAATATGAGGTATTTTGACACGTAATAGTAATATCTGTGTACCATTTACTATGTGCTGGGGCCAATTATTAGTTGTTATTATCTTATTTCATTATTATTTTTTAACTGCCAAAGGGTGTATGCACTTGCTTGAGAGAGGCAGAGAGACAGAGAGAGAGGGAGAAAGCCCCCCTCAATGAGGCATGGTCATGCTACAGTCCCCTCTCCATTCTCCATCCTGGTGAGATTTGGGGCACACACACACACACACACACACACACACACACATACACACACACCTGACATGTTTTCTTTCAAGATGCTGGGACTGGGATTCGAACTGTGGTCAGCCATATGGGATCCAACTCCCTTAACCACTAGGCTACAGGCCTGGCCCTGTTGTCCCGTATTATAGAAGAGGAAAACGAGTCCCAGATGGGTAAAGTAACTTGCTCAAGGTCACACAGCTGGTACATGGCAGAGCTGCGATTCACTGAGAGCCCACACTTAGTCAGCAGACCAGCCCGCAGCAGAATGGCTAAACCTTGTATCAGGTTTAATCCACATTTTGCTAGAAAAGTGAGCAAAGCGGACAGGGAGGGCGGTGTGGGGCCCTTGGTCAGCTCCAGAAAAGAGCTGGCTGCTGATACGACCCCTGCGTTGGCACTGCCCCCAGCATCAGGCCCAGGGCTCCCTGCCCTCTGGCCAAATCCAACAGAAGCTCTTGAATTAAAAAAACAAAAACAAAAATAAAAAACAGTAAGTCCCTCACAAGCCAGCTGCATGTTCTTGTATGTGGCCTCGAGCAACGCAGTTAGTGTTTCCAGGCCTCAATTCCCCATCTGTGAAATGGGGTGCTCTTATCCCTGAGTCGGGAGCAGGAGGGGTGGTCATTGTGGACCGAGGCTCTGCCAACGCGAGCAGGTGAACGGCCACCCCTGCAGCCCCTGTGCTGAGCGCAAGGCTGGGTTTGACTCCTGGGCTCCACTGCTTCTCCTTTCAAAAGGCAAAGGGGGAACCAGCAGTTAGCGTAATGGCTATGTCGCTGGACTCCCACGTAGTAGACCGCGGTTCGTGTCCCGGACCCGATGGCTTAAAACTCACGCCGGGCGCGTGTGCGTGCGTGCCCAAGATCCCAAGAGGAGAATGGAGGAGAAGGGATTGAGGCGTGGCCATCCCCCCGGGGGGGTGATTTCTCGCTTTCTGTCTCTATGTCTCTCTCTGTCTGTCTGGCGAGCGCACGCGCCCTACAGTGAAAATCTCTCCAAAAAAAAAAATAAAAAAAGGCAAAGCTGCCACCTGGCCCCAAGCCCCCACCCCAAAAGGCCAGTGAGATGCTAGTAACAGACCCCACCTGAGCCGGGTGTCCCTGTGAGGTTACATGGGAAAGGCCAGATGCAGGACCATCCGGAGAGACAGAGGGCCGGCCTGGCCGTGCTGACGGCAGACGGTGCAGTCGGAGGGAGGGGCTGTGGCTGGATGCTGAGGGGCCCTTCCAGTTCGGCCCTTCAAGGTCTTCGCCCCTGTACTCACCCTCAGACTGGCTTTTGGTTTTCATTCTCTTCCTTCCCAGACCTTTTTCATGTTATCTAGGACTTCTGCTGTCACGCCATGGGCCGAAGCCTGTCATCTCTGTGCTCCTAGAGGGGCCAGCCAGCCTTCCCCAGGCCTCCCGCTCCCACTCGCAGTCCTCTCACGGAGGCTGCTGGGACAGCCAGGTCTTTCCTGCCTGGTGTTTGACCAGCCGAAGTCACTGCCCACTCCCTCCCCTGCCTCCAAGCCTCCAGCCTGGCCTCCTCTAGGGACGCTAGAATCTGGTCTCCCAGAGGGCGTGAGGGGAGGGCAGACCCCAGAGGACCTCCACCTGGTTGGTGCCCATCTGCAGCACAGGCCTGTGAGTGAGGGCAGGGCCCAGGCCACAGTCCAGGTGGGTAGAATAAATTTAATCAGAACTTAGTCTGTGAGATTTTGTTCAACCTGAAAAGAGGTGACGAGGAGATCTGAGGGCCTTCCCTCCGAGCCAGCGAGAGAACTTGGGAACTGCCTATCCAAGATGTGCAGCGAGGAGGTATGCCCGCCGGAATCGCGAGCCAGGCCTGTCCCTCACTTCTTTCGCTCAGTTGTTTGTTGAGGTTGCTAGCAAACACTAAGTGTTGTAAGAAACACGAAGTTGTGCAAAGCTTCGAGTTCAAGTGGCCAGCCCTACGGGAAGGACAGGGAGCCCTCCGGGCGTCTGTCCGTAACTGTGCGACGCGAGCTCTGTTCCGAGTGCTTATCACAGACGCCGACAGGGAGCAACGCGCTCGTGGGGCTTGTGGTGTGTAGCATGATGACAGACGTCACAACCGTGGTGACAGTGAGAGCCCAGCCTAGCGCTAGGATCCTGCATAAACAGAGCGTTTTGAGAGACCTGCTTTGCGGGCTGGCCACGTAGCGCAGCGGTGGTGCCCTGTGTGTTGGGAGCAGAGTCCCATGTGGCTGATTGTGGCTTAAATCCCAGTCCTGGCAGCTTGAAGAGCACGCCGGGTGCATGTGCATGCAAGCCCCAGACCTGACAGGATGAAGAAATGGAGGAAAACGGATGTGGCACGACCGTGTCCACCGGGGAGTGTTTGCTCTCTCTCTTTCTCTTGTGCTCCTTCTCTCTAGCAAGCACATGTGCTCTCTGGCAACTAAAAAAAAAAAAAGGTGGGACCAGCAATTAGTGTAATGGCTATGTCGCTGGACTCCCATGTAGTCGACCGCAGTTCAAGTCCTGGACCCGGTGGCTTAAACTCATGCCGGGCGCGTGTGCATGCGTGCCCAAGATCCCGAGAGGAGAATGGAGGAGAAGGGATTGCAGCGTGGCTGTCCCCCCTGGGGGGGGATTTCTCGCTTTCTGTCTCTGTCTCTCTCTGCGCCCTACAGCAAAAACCTCTCCAAAAAACAAAAAGAAGGTCCTGGTTTTGGAGCACAGCAAGCTGGCTTGTCTTCTCAGCTTTATCATTTATTTTGTGAGACCTAGAGCAAGAGATGTAATCCCCCAAGACTCAGTTCTGTTATCTGTAAAACAGAAAGAATAATTACTTTCTTCCTGGGGCCATCTCGAGAATTACAAGAAATTACCCAAGTGGCTGGCGCATTATTATCATTACTGTCACTATGATAACGACGATGACAATACAGTACGTAGCAGATGAGTGGCACAGGAGGGACAGGCAGGGGCCCTTCCTGCTGGAGAGGGTGGCAGAGACGATGCTAATTTCTGAGAGAAGGTGGTGGCTGGTGCCAAGTTTTAAAGAGGGATTGGATTTCTATACAAGGAAGTGGCAAAGAGTGAATCAGTTTGAAAGTAGAAAAATGAATGATTCAGAAGGTCATTAAAATAACACAAATAAAGAATCTAAACCAAATGACTGGGTTCCTTAAAAATAGGACATTGCATCGCCAAGCTAAGAAGGCGTTGGTCAGCCGGAGGGGCGATTACTGGGAAATCTCACCCGCTTCAGCATTATTGAGAAGTTGTGGTCTCTGGAGCCGGGGTGGGGTTGCGCAATGCCGTGGGGTTAAGGTTACCCAAACTCTGGTCCAGGGAGAGAAGGGAAGTGTTTAGGACAGGATCGATATTAGAAAAAAGAGAGAGAACGAGAAAGCTCCTTGCAGAGCGGAGCGGCCTTCAGCAAAGCGCGATGAGACGTGCCGGAGCCTGGGTGGGCACACAGCCAGAGGACACGGTCCCGGGGGGCCAGGCGCAGCACCTCCAGAAGGCAGCAGCTGTGCCTTCCAGGGGCTGGGTCCCATCCCGCCCTGCTCCCTCGGTCCTGCGGTCTCCCCTCACTTCTCTGCACACTCAGATGCGAGGGACACTCCACTTTCTCTGTCCAACTGGTGAGAGTAGGGAGATGCGGGTCAAATCCCGGCTCTGCCACTTTCTTGCTGTGTGATCTTGAGAAGGTCGCCTCACCTCGCTGCGCCTTTAGTTTGCATCTACACGAAGGGGATCGTAACACTTGCTTCATAAAGTCCTGGAGTTCTTCAAAGGCAGGGAATAAGGAAACGTTCCTTGCATGTGAAGGTGCTTGGAAAATGTCAGCCCGGGACCTCCTCTTGTTCTTCCGCGCTCCTCTCCTCTTCCTGCTTTGATGATTTCTAGCTGGGGACGAGCATACATTCTACAAGCAAATAACTGAACGCCTCCTATCTAGGACTCTGCTGGAAGGTCAATGCTTTGTTTTAGTTTACTTTTATTGCAAGGGGGACAGCCAGAGAAAGAGAGAGGGGGGTAAAGGCAGAGAGACCAAGGGAGGCATTTCTGAGGTCTCCCAGTACTGGAATCCCCTGCCCCAGCTTTCCAATTGGCTGGGGTCCCCCGCACCTGTGCCCACGCCTGGCCTGGGAACTGAACCTGGGCCTCCCTCCCACATGGCTTCCAGCCTCCCAAGCAGTGACACTCCTGTGTGCCACCACGGCTGGGCTGTCACCAGTTTACTTGTGTCATTCCTCTTATGTGTATAAATACGAACACTGCGACGAACATCGTTCTTAACATGAAGATGAAAAAACACATGCTAAAAAAGCGAAAGTGTGGCTCAGCCACAGTGGCACAGGCAGGGGTGCTACTGCGAGTGGCTGGGGCCTCATGGAGGCCCAGGTTTGGATCCCGGACCACCTGAAGAAGCCAGGTATGGTGGTGCACCCCTGTGGTCCGGCTCCCGGGACGGAGGACGGCGACGGCGAGCCCCCATCAGCACCTCATCTCTCGCTCTGCACCTCTCTCTCCCTCAAACAAGAAATAGAAATAAAAAAGAAAGAAAGAGAGAAAGCAAGCAAAAGAAAAACAGATAGTTAAATAAAAAAGACAAAGATGTGAGGGGCTTTGGAGACGGAGCGGGAGTGCCAAGGGGAGGGGAAGGAGAGGCCGACACTCACAGTGCCCCAACTAGACCGGGCGGACGCCATGCCGCGGGGAAAGTGGCACCTCCCAGGCTTCGGAGGGGCCTCTGCTGCTCAGTGAGGACAGATACACAAACCCGAGCACCGGCTGTGGGGGCCACAAGAGGCTGTGGTCTTACTGTCTCAGGCTGGGGCGGCCTCTGAGAGGAGGTAGCGAAGGAGCCGAGCGACGAGTGTGTCCCAGGAAGGCCGTTTATTGTTTATTTATTTATTTGGCATGGGACGTGTGCCCTCGCCAGAGAGCGCATGAGAGTGAGAAGTCAGCCCCTGGGGGACCGCCAGGCCGCAATCCCTCCTCCCCACTCTCCTCCTGGGACTTCGAGCATGCACGCGCTGGCATCCGGCATGCTTTTCAAGCCGCTGGACCTGGGACTCGAACTGCGCGGTCCGTCCTGTGGGATCCAGCTGCCTCAACCTCCACGCCTCCTGGCGGGCCCAGGAAGAGCATTTTGAACGGTTTCGTCATCGCCTTCTCTTCCTGCCCTGAGGACTTCTGGGTGGGGGTGTCCACAAACGCCGACGCTCCTTAGGGCTCTGCGGGGTCACTTATTTCTCTTCTCTTCCTTTCTTATTGTGCCTCCTGCCCAGAATGGCCTGTGCAGAGGCCCAGTGACCTCCGAGACGCTGTGGGGCACTCGGGCGCTTCCTTAAATAGCAGACAAATGACATCTTGACACCCAGCCCAGGCCAGGCACACGGGCACTTACAGGACGCCGGGCCTGTTAGGCCGTCCCTCCCTTGTCCTCCCCACAGAGGATGCCACGGCCTCGCAGGCGAAGATCAGGCCCAGCCCAAGGAGGGACAAAAGCGGGCTGCCACGCTCCCCGCTCCCCTGCTGTGGCCAGGCCAGGGCGCACTTCCCACTTTGGGGGCCTGCGCAACGTCCCTGTTCTCTGGGACAGCACATTCTGGTCCCTTCCCCAAACACGGCGGAGGCCCAGCCTGCTGTCCAGCGCTCAGCTAACGGGAAGCAAGCCACATGTGCCCCAAGTTGCAGGCTCCCGGTGACGGTGACGAACCCGGCCCTGGGGATTCCTCCAGGTCTGGGGAGTGGTTAGAGAAGTACCGGGCCAGATCATCAGCTGTGCTGGTCACCGCCTGTCAGGACCGCAGCCGCGGCCAGAGGGAAGTGGGGGCATTGCGGCACCAGGCGTGGGAACCTCACTGTGGCGTCGGGCTGCCTTCCCGGCTCCCTCACCACAAGTGGGTCCCTCTGCAACTGAGGGTCAGCAGTTTCGAGGCTCTGAGACACAGCAGGGACAGAGGCAGCGTTCCTCTTCAGGGAGGTGACGCTGGTGGACAAACCCACACAGTGTCCCTGTTAGCCGTCTGCAGTGTGCCCAGCTAGTCGGCCCTGAGCCTGGGGCTAATGTCCCATGTTACTCTCTCCGTCACTGCGAAACCTGCCCTGTCCCCATCTGCGAATTCCTGTCCTGCAGGAGCCCCGCCCAGATCCCAGATCTCTGGCCTCCTCACCCTTCAGGCAAATTGCTTCTTCAAAGGCAGCTGGTGAAGGTGGGGCGGATGTCGACACCTCAGCCTTGTGCTCTGACCTAACGGGTCAGGAATGAGGGGCCAGGCACCCTCTGATAACAGGCTGCCTCAGAAGCACTGGCCCCGGGGAGGGCTCTCAGATGCTGTCAGAGCCCTGTAATCGGTCTCTCCAGCGCTCTTAGTCACCATTACTCCCGACCCAGGCATCCGATTGCTCATCTGTTTCTCCATTCTTTAATGAATGGAGAATTTCTTTCATTCTTTAGGGGCTAGCGCAGCCTTTGGCCAAATTGTGCAGTAGGTGAGTCCTCCCCTCTCCCAGCCCCTCCCCCAGCCCCTGCCCCCAGTCCAGAATTCCTCTCGGCTGTGGGTGAACCTGCTGCACACCAGGGGCCGGGAACGTGGGTCAGGAAGCCCCAGGGAAGCAGAGGAAGAAGCTGCCAACTGCGAGCGGGAGCCAGCCAGAGGGTGCGCAGGGGCTGTGGGTGCCAGAGCTCATGTCGCCCACAGGGGAGGGGGTGGGATGGGGGTGGGGACTTGCCCATAGGCCTCAGCGCCTTCAGCTGAGTCCACAGGCCAGGAGAAGTCGTCCAGGATTAGGTTCTCTGAGCAGAGGCTCAGGAGAGGACATGGGGCCTTTGAGGGACCTGGACGTCACCAGGGGTGTTCCACAGGGTCTAGGGGATAAAGGAAGCCAGCAACGAGGGCGGTCAAGGGGGCAAATGTGTGAGAAGTCTTCAGAGCCGGATGAACTGCTGCACCTCTGCAGTCCTAGGGACTGCTGCAGACACTGGAGACATTTCTGTGCAAAAGAAAGATGTGGTCAGCCAGTGGCATGAGGGTTAAGGAGGCTGCATCCCACGTGGCTGACTGTGTGGGTCAAGTCCCGAACCCGGCAGCTTGGAAAACGCAGGGCATGCGTACATGCACGCCCAAATGCTTGAGAGGAGAAATGGAAGAGAAGAGATTGCAGTGTGGTCATTTCTCCGGGAAGGGTGCTTTCTCACTCTCTCTCGCTCTCTCTCTCTCTCTCTCGCTCTCTCATTCTCTGGAGAGCACATATCCTATAACAAAAATATTTTTTAATGAAAAAAAGAACAGGCTGTTAGATTTTCAGGAATTTTAAGAGTGATTCGACATCATGTTGACAGCTTGAAACTAGCCACCCTGGGCATACTTCCACACAGGAATGGGCATAATGGGGCAAAGCATCCCGAGCCCCTCGAGCACCAAGATCCTGACCCCAAAAGCTGGTTGTCAAGCCCTTGTCTACCCCCTGCTGGGAAACAAACGATGAAGGAGGCTAAGTAAACGTGGTAACAAGGGTTCGTGTATATAAATACAGAAGTCAGCAGGGCATGATAGAGAGGGACTGAGGGAAGAGGTAATCAAGGACGGCTTCTGGGAAGTGGCGTCGCCTGAGCCGATAGCTAAAGACTGTAAAGCAATCAGGCTTCTGAAGAGATGGAGATCATGTTCTGGACTGAATTGTGTCCCCTCCTTCAGATTCATATGCCGAAGCCCTAACTCTCATAATTCAGTTTGTGACCGTATTTAGAAATAGGGCCTTTACAGAGGTCGACTCGAAAGGGTCATGTCACGGGCTGGCATCCTGAGAAGAGGAGATTGCAGCCCAGGTGGTGGGGCTCTGCTCTGTGATGCAGGAGCCGATGGATGACTGCATTTCAAATCCTGGGTCAGCCAGGGCCAATCGTAGTACTGCCTGGACACAGAAAAGAGACTGAGGGAGGACGCAGAGGGAAAGCAGCCGTCCACGAGCTGCGGAGAGCCTTCAGGAGAACCCACACCTGTCCGCACCTGGGTCTTGCACGTCCGTCCTCCAGAACTGCGAACTGCTCAGTCTGTGGTACCGGCAGGTGGCGGGGACAGCCAGGGTCACAGCCTAAGGACAGTGTGGCTGGCACCGGGGGTAGGTGGGGAACTGGCCAGGTGGCTGTGGATGTGGCTGGCCCTGGTTTTTTTTTTTTTGAGTCATTGATCCACTGGAGAGCTTTAAGCGAGAGTGACAACGCCGGGTTCACCGTAGTAAGTTCTTCTGTCGCCATGTTTTCTGGGGGATCTGACAAGATGGTGAGCATTCCCGCTGGAAGCCTGGAAGAGTGGTGACAAGACAATATCTGAGTTTAGAACAAGAAGAATCAGAGGTGGGTGGTTGGAGGGCTGGAAGGCCTCTCTCTGTAACAAGCAAAGAGCAAACACACCCCCGGAAGCAACGGTTACATTTGACTCACTTCAGTGACTGCCTAGTGAGCCATCGCTGATGTTCTAGACCCTGTTCTAAATTCCGAGGGTAACAGGACTAGACAGTAAACACAGCAGCTAGAAGGCACACAGTGGTACAGTGGCAGAAGGCCGTGCTCAGAGGCCGGCCCACACGGGAGGACTCAGGCTCATGTGCAGAGGCCTTCCTGAGTCCACGCCTCCTGGCTGTGTGGTGTGTGTGTGTGTGTGTGTGTGTGGTGTGTGTGTGTGTGGTGTGTGTATGTGTGGTGTGTGTGTCTGTGTGTGTTGTGTGTGTGTGTCTGTGTGTGTGTCTGTGTGTGTGTGTGTCTCTGTGTGTGTGTGTGTGTGTCTTGCTCATGGAAGAAATAAATTAACAGACCTACAAATAAATAAACACAGCAGTGGGCCAGCCAGGCGACATGGTGGTTAAGACATCTGGATCCCACGTGGCTCACTGCATGCATGGTTCGAGTCCTGGACCTGGCAGCTGGAGAAACATGTGCATGTGTGTGCATCCCAAACTCTCAAGAGAAGATTGAAGAGAAGGGACATGGTACGGCCATACCCCCGGGGGAGATCTCTTACTCCCCCTCTCTGTTTGTCTCTCTGGCAAGGGCATACACCCACTGACAAGCTGAATAAATAAATACATATGAATCCCTGCAGCAGACAAGAGCCTCTGAATTCTGGGGAGAGAACGGGGAGTCAGTAAACACATGAAATGAATAACACATCTGCCATGTCAGAGGCGATAGGCGTGGAGGGCGAAGAAAGCAAAGGAGGGAAACCAAGGCTGCTTGGGCTCCTGCGAGCAAGAGAGACAGAGACAGAAGGAGGGAGGGCATCCCCCAGAGGGTCTTGAACCCATGACCCACTGCTAGGGTCAGCCAGCCCGGTGTCGTGGGCACATGCACACTCGGTGCCCTCAGGGAAGTCCCATGAGGACCAGCCTTGAGGAGTGAGTGCTGTTGACCACCGCGCCTCACCCAGACCCATTTTTTATTTTCCTTATCACGAACTATACATATGAAGGGTCTGTGTGTCCGGCCCGCCCTGCTGCCAGAATTGGAGGTCTCGGTGGGGTGGCGTAGCTTTTACTGTTGCTCCCTGTGGAGACAGAGGAGGGTGTCCCGTTACACGGCGCTCACCGGGAGTTGGAAACACCGCTACACCCCTCTGGTCTTGGCCGCCAGGGCTCCTTGCTCACCCTATCCCACCTCTCCCTGCAGATGCGCCTCCCAACTCCCCAAGCACTCGGGCTTCCTTTCTTCTCTCTGCCCTTCCTGGCATTCCCTACTAAGAGGAAAAAAAAGCCTGCAGATGGTCAAACTAGGACGCACGACCCTCTGGGCCTGGCTGGAGTCCTGCTGTTGCTCACGGAAAAGGGTCACAAGCCACTCCAGTGGGTCCCTCTGGGGAATGTCCGGGGCTCCAGCCAGCCGTTTCCTGCCATTCAAGCTATTCTCCCTTGGATGGATGTTAGTTTTACTTATTTATATTGGTATTTACATACTGTTATATTTATTTTCTGTATCTAATAATTATGCCTTCCCTCAAATCTGTCCCCTCTTTTGTTTATTTAGTTTGAGAGAAAGGGAGAGATGAGCACCCGCAACAGGGTCTTCACGGCACTGTCCTGCCAGCCATGACGGCGACACACAGACCTGGCGTGTGCAGGTGCCTCGGCATCTCAGAGGGGTGTCACCACGACGCCGGGGCAGCTGCAGGCCCGCTCTCCTAGCAGGGCCCAGAGGAAGCCCGCACAGGAGCAGCTGACCATGGCCGGCACCCTCCCCTTCCCGCCCAGTGCATTCCTGGGTGGGCTGGACAACAGCTTTGTGCTGCTCTGCCCACTCCATGTCATCCCAGAGCTGACCCTGGGCCAGCCCTCCACCTAGGCCTGCCTACACTGGAATATTTGAGCAGGGATTGCACAGGCCCCGGAGCCTGGAGCATGGGGGCAGGGGTCAACGCTGCGTCCACCCACCGGCAGGAGTACCAGCTTCCACCCCCAGATTCCTCCCTCGAGTGATCTTTATGTAGCCTCCGAATTGCCCAGCTCCCTTTGGAGGAATGAGGTGCCCAGCATGGTGCCAGGGGAGGGCATGGTGAGGGGAGGGCCCGGCCACTGCACCTTTCAGATTTTAAACTTTATTTATTTATTTTCATTTGACCAGAGAGAGAGAGAGAGAGAGAGAGAGGGAAAGTGAGAAAGACAGCTGCCAGGTCCAGGACTTGAACCACAATGGGCCATGTGGGAGTCTGGCTCCCTTAACCACCATGCCACCTGCCAGCCCAGCACCTTTCAGATTTCGTCACTGCTCAGCTGGGGGCCCTGAGCGCCCTGAGCCTCAGTCTCCCTCACTGTAACCCGGGAATGGAATAACCACATTTCCGAGGCCAATGAGTAGCACGGAGAAATGTAAGGCAGGGCTGGCCAGGGCATGGTACAGTCGGTAAGGTGGCTGGATCCCACACGGCCAACTGCACAGTTCAAGTCCCAGAGCTGGCGGCTTGAAAAACATGTCGGGCGTGTGTGTATGAATGTCCAAACTCCAAAAGGAGAAAGGAGGAGCAGGGAGTGTGGTGTGGGCGTCCTCTCACTCCAGGGATGATTTCTCACTTTCCCTCTCTCTGGCGAGTGCACGGACTCTATAGTAAACATTTTTAAATAATAACAATTAAAAAACATAATTATTACTCCTTTCTAAACAAGAGTTGATGCCAGGATGCCGTCAGTCCTCAAGGTGGTTTCAGCATGTTATTTCCTGGTCCTGATCACTTCCTCCATCCTGCTCATGGCTGACGTCACCCTCAGCCCTGACCTCACCACCTGCCCCGCCCTGCCCCTCCTGTGGCCACGTCATCCACCCAGCCCCAGGCTTAGCCCAACCCCTGGCCCCAGAGCACAGCCTTTGGTGAAAAGAGCCAATCGGGACACTTTCTCTTTTCCTTCAGGCTGCTCTTTCGACCTTTACCCATCCCCTGCCCGCTGCAGACCCTCTTACCTCTGCAGAAGCCTCGTCAGTGCTGGCATCCTGCCCAGGCCCACACGTCCAACTCCATCAAGCTCTGGTTTTACCTCTCGGTGAAAGAGCCAAGGCCTGGGGGGATGCAGCAGCCGGGGAGGCAGAGATGGGAATTCTAACCTGCATGTGTATTTCCGGGTGGGGGATCTCTGAGAAGCCATTTTACTTCTCTGAGCCTCGGGGTCCTCATCTCTAAAAAGGGGAATGGTTTCAGCCCCGCCATTCCACTGCAGATCACTAACCACACGTGTGCGACGAGGAGAGCTGGCAGGGACAGTAAGTGGCCAGACCACGCAGGCTGACGAGCTTGGACTCGGCACTGGGGAGCCACGGAAGGCTCCAGGCAGGGGTGGCCCCACCAGGTGGTGGAGTTGCAAAGGGAGAAGGCTAGCAAGAGGGGGGAGCAGGAGGCGAGGAAACCAGGGCGCAGCCATGAGACCGGACTGGGCGGTAGCTAGGGAGCGGGAAGGAGCGTTTCCGAGGACAGAGAAAGCCAGCCAGCAGCAGCCAGGCGTGGCTCCGGATCTGTCCTAAGGGAGGCCAGGTCCTCCTCCACCTGGCCCAGCTGAAGGCCTGTGGGCCCTGTGGCCAGCACTGACACAGGGGAGAAGCCATGCGGCCGGGAGCGGGAGGGGAGGGGAGCAGGAAACAGACCCTGAGGTCTCCCCGGTCTGTCAGGCCCTGCCTGCAGCTAGGACAGCAGCCACAGCGCAGTGGAGGGGAAGGCAGGCTCTCACTGCTGTGACCAATGACACAGCCGCTCTCGCCGGACTCTGACCGCGCCCAGCCCTGCTGCTCTGTTATGTCATTCCAGGGTCCCAGTACCCGGGGAAGTGCCATCATCACCACCTTAGAGTAGAGGGACAGGCACGGGGAGGCGTGTGGAAGGTGAGAGAGGACAAGGGTGGGATCCAGGATCATCACGCTCAAAACCCCATGTTTTTAGAGGGAAATTAAACGCCTAATGGGATGGGACGAGAGCAAAGGGAAAACAAGAAGTCGGCGGTGTCCGATAGCAATGACCGTTGATTCTCCTTTTTAAAAAACGTGTCCTTATTTCTTTCTTCCATGAGAAAGAGGCATCCCTCAACAGTCATGGCACCACAACCCCCCAGCCTCAGCCAGCCCTGGGTCACGGGCACACGTGCACCCGCAGTCCTCGGAGAGGGATCGCCCCGGGAGGCACAGCCCCCCACCCCAGCCTCCTTGAGAGCATGAGACCAGGTGCCCCTCACCCCTCTCCTCACCTCCCCTTGCCTTCCCTCTCTTCTCTTCTCTTCTTGCTCTCCCTCCCCTCCCTCCCTCACCTGCCTTTCCTCTCCTGCTCCCCTCTCCCCTCCCTTCCTCATCACCTTCCTCTCCCCTCTCCTCTCCCCTTCTCATCACACCTCTTTCTTCTTTTCTTTTTAATTGCCCAGTGGTGCCTGCTCTCAGGGAGACACAGAGAGGGATGAAGCACCTCCAGTGGAATGTGGTCCTGCTGCAAGCCCTCCTTTCTTTCTCCAACCTGTGGGGTCTGAGATACACACCTGGCATATCTTCCAAGCTGCCAGAGCTGGGACTCAAACTGTCCAGTTGGCCATGTAGGATCCAACTCCCTTAAGCACCAGGCTACAGGGCTGGCCCTAATGACCTATCCTCGATGACAATTTACATCAGGACTGCCACTTTGGAAGATAACACATGCATCTATGACCCTGCAATTCCCTTACTAATTACATAGCCAGAAAGGCTCTTGCACAAGTGCGTGAAGCTCTGTCTATAATAATGCTCATAGCTGCTCTGCTTATGGAAGATACCGAAGCTCCTCATCGCTATGGAAATAGCTGGTACTCTGGCCAGGCAGTGGCATGGTGGTTAAGGCAGCCGGACCACAGGGCCAACTGCACGGTTAGAGTGCTAGACCCAGCGGCTTGAAAACCATGTAAGGCACGTGTGTGTGCCCTAGATCCCAAGAACAGAATGGAAGAGAAGGGATTGTGGCATGGCCATTCCTCCTGGGGGGTGCTTTCTCACTTTCTCTCTCTCTCTGGTGAATGCATGCATCCTATAGCAACCTAAAGAAGAAAAAAAGAATGCCCCCACACTGATGAATGGATTGAAAAAGTGTGGCACATATACTCTATGGACTACTACTCAGCCATAAAAACAATCAGACGACCCTGGCATTTGATAGAAAGTGGTCGGATATGGAGGATCTATTGCTGAGTGAGCTAAGCCGGGATATGAAAGAAAGATATTGTATGTAGCCACTTAATATATACCGACTCGCCGCACTCTATGGTAGAGACAGAAATATTGGAGGGCATAAGAGCAGTGAAAATAGCTGACGATGATGCGACAGTGTGGGCGGGGCGGGAGAAGAGCAGAGTGCGAAGGACAGTGGGAGAACAGTGGCCGGCAGGACGCCAGTGGGGCGCAGACGTGGCTCCTTGCCTGTTGGTGATGACGTGGAGAGTATGCTCAACTGCACAGGGCGGAGAGGTATTTCATGTTGGGTAAAGTCTTCTTGCAAGCAAAATGATAGTGATTGAATATTTAAAAAAATAATTAGAATAATAGTAATACTCTGGGAAAAAATGAAAAGCTATTGGATGATGATGGGGATTTTAACGTCTCCGTATTGACTGATATGAATGGCATTCCTTCTGGAAAAAGCAAAGTACTACACTGTAAAGTTATATGTGAGTCAATGTAATCTAAACAAGATTATGATGATAATAAAAAAATTTAAACAGTAGTTTGTAAAAAAGAAGAAAGAGAAAGAAAGAAAGAGGAAAAGTAAGAGAAAGAAGGACAAAGAAAGAAAGAAAGTCCGGTAAATTTTGAAATTTTGTTTGTATATATATGTATATATATTGCTACAACAAAAATATATACCATTAATCATTTCGATTAATAAAATATTTTAAAGATAAAAATATTCCCAAACCACCCACACAGTCATCTGCAGGATGAGGGACAGACACACCGGCGGGCGGAGGCAGCATGTGGACTGGGTCTCCCCCATGGTGTGAGGGTGGGCGTCCTGGGCCTGCTCGCCTGACCCCAGATAGGGCAAGGTGAAAATAACCCACGCCAATCAAATAAAGGTCAAAAACATGACCACGACATTGTTTTGGAACACACACACACACACACACACACACACACGAGTAAAGCTATTTGGAAAAGCAAAGGAGTGAGTCACACAAAATTCAAGATGGTGGCGTCTCCGAGTGGCTGAGAGGGAGGCTCGGCTCAAAGAGGGAATGGGGCTCCTACGGCATGGGGGATGGGCTGCTTCTAAGCTGGGAAGTGGATACAGGAGGATTTATTCTTTAAATTACACACAAGTTTTTGCATGCACTTTTGGTAGATAAAGATATTACATAATTAAAAAAAAAACAAACCCTACCTAGAGAAGAAGGGCTGGGAGGCTCTTACCTGCAACGGAGTCTCGATAGAGGGGCTCTTTTACTGTCTACCTTCTGCATTTTTAAAATGTGCTTTTGTATTTTTACGGTAAAAGAAGCACCGAATGAAGAAAGAAAAGAAGAGAGAGCGCTTTCCCCTCGAATGTGTCCAGAGAAAGGAGAAGTGAAAGGGAGAGTGAGAGCCAGGCCTCCCCCTAATTCTCCTAGCAACCAAAGATGACGCCGGGAGTTTCTGGCAACATGTTATGTAGAAGATCACGTGATTGAACTGTTACCCTGAGGAGGGGCACGCTCTTCTGGAAAGTGGACTCCCCAGCCCGTCTTCTCAGGAACCCCTGCTGGTTTCCAGAGTGAGCAGAGGGTTCGCTGTCCTTTCAAACCGGGTGTAACCAAGGAGATGAGGCCAAAGGGCCCGGCTGGGCTTGGTGAGAGCATCTCAGATGACGGGGTTGGCACAGGCGTCCAGTCAACAGTGTGGAGACCAGGGGCACCAGGAGATGCAGGGGTGGCACAGCTCGGCCCACATGGGAGGGTCTCAGGTTCGGACCCCGAGGCCTCCCTCTACGTGGGCACACACCTGCCTCTAATCTGAGCCGGCTGGGGCCAGACGAGGATTGCAGTGTGACGACGCTGTTATGGGTACATGCCTGTCTCTCAGAAGAAGAAGTAAACTACACTAAGAGGAAAGATTAAAACAGGTGGAAGACATGGAGAAGGCAGGGGAGCAAAGAGAAGCTGTTGAGCTGGAGGCTGGGTTGAGAAAATGGGGTTCAACACAGCACGCATCGCAGCAGCAGGGTCGCCTTGCAGGTACCTTTAACCCAAGACGGCGTAGATTTCTCTCTCTCTTACTAAAAAAATAATTATTTTATTTATTCATTAATTTTTAATTTGACCAGAGAGAGATAGAAAGAGGGAAAGTGAGAAAGCGAGCCACCAGATCTGGGACTCGAACCATGGTCAGTCATGCGGGAGTGTCCAGCTCCTTAACCACCACTCCACCTGGTCTATGCTCTATGGTCCCAAGAGCATAGGTTTCTCTTCCTAGTACTATTCTCTTGGATACTTAGGCTCTATCCCATCATCTCAAAACTCCCCACATGTGCTGGCCCCAAGGCCTGGTGCTAAGGAAGTCGGATCCCACCTGAAGCCAGACCCCACATGGTCGACCTCATAACTCTAGTCCAAGTGCATGCGCGTGACCCAAATCCCGACAGGAAGGATAAATGGAGGAGAAGGCGGCATGACCATGCCCCAAATGGGGGCTTTCTCCTCTCTCTCTGGTGATGCATGCGCCCTCCCGCAAATCAGTAAGTCATAAGTAAACCCGCGACACCAGAGAACAAATCCATCGTTCATCCTCTTGAGGCATGCATGGACTCCACAGGTACGCACGCAGCACCTTGCTGTGATCACGGGCCTTGTGTGGGCCTGGAGACAGGTGAGTGAGCAGCCACCCTCCCCACAAAGGACTCGCACGCACAGGAGACAGGTGTACGGTGGAGAAATGGACGGGGACCACATCTAGGACACCTCGCTAAGACAGAATGGATGGGAATGCTTTGATAGCGGAATGTCCAAGCCATGGCAGGGCACAGAGGCGCGACGGCCAACCCCTGGGAGTAACAGGGCAGGCAGCCAGGACGAGCCCTTGTGTCAAGTAAGGCGGCTCCAGGGCATGGCAGTGAAGGTGGCCTGTTCCCACACGGCTGACCCTGTGGTTTGGGAACCAGACCTGTGGCTTGAAAAACACGCTGGGCTTGAGTATGTGTGTGCCTGAAATCCCTAAAGGAGGGAGAGATGGGGGGGGGGATTGCAATGTGACCACGCCCCATGGAGGTGCCATCTTCTCTCTCGTGTCTCTCTGTCTCTCTTTGGCAGCAATGTGTCTTCTAGAAAAAGAAAGAAAGAAAGAGAGAGAGAGAAAGAGAGAGCGAGAGAAGGAAGGAAGGAAGGAAGGGAGGGAGGGAGGGAGGAAGGAAGGAAGGGAGAGAGAGAGAGAGAAAGAAAGAGAGAGAGAGAACAAAAGAAAGAGACATGGTCAGAGACACAGTGGAGAAAACATGAGCGACATGAAGGGGGGCCGCAAAGCAGAATGGAAGAGAAGGGACTGCGGCGTGGCCCTTCTCCTGAGGGACGATGTCTCACTTTCCTTCTCTTCCCTGCAAGTGCACGTGTCCTATAGCAAACTAAAAAGTGAAAGAAAGAAAGAAAGAAAAGAGAAGAAAAAAGGAAGCGTAAGCAGTTTGTTTTTCTGGCACGGTGACCAT